GTTTTGGGTAAAATCTTGCTATTCTGAACATGTTACGCAAAATATCACCACCTATGCGTACATTATGGAACTTAGTGGACATATCGAGCTAGGTTATGACCTGTGACAAGAAAGTTTAATGCATATATTTTAGCATTAAACATTGTGTCCGAGCATAAATTTCGAAGCAACGAAAGCCGAGATGTCACTTGAATTACATTACACGATCGCACAATAAAGATGGAAATAGTAAGTTGTAACGTACATTTGACAACTTTTATGAGTACTGTTGTTGATTTTATTCTTCCGTTTATTCAATTCGTGTAATTATTATCTCGAAACATTGTTACTTTGCTCTTTGACAACTCTGATGTCGACCCGTTGCCGAAGCATGTGTCCGAGAATCGTTTTATTCAATAACATTGCGAAAAATAGTTTATAATTCTAATTCTGTCGATTATATATGGCCATTTGAAATGTAATAAGTGTTTTCAGGCATTATGAAAAGTGACAGATTTGATAAATGAATCATATGTTAGTTAGGTTCCTAAAATTATATATAATTTTGATACGACTACTGCCTGGCCGGTTTTCCGGCCTACGGTGTCTGCGGACTGGTGACGTCTTGGCCGGTTTTCCGGCCTACGGTGTTGAATGGGTTAATGTTCATCATGTAATTGCACACCTTAGTTAATTATCATCATGTTATTACACACCTTAGTTAATGTTCATCATGTTATTGCACACCTTAGTTAATTATCATCATGTTATTACACACCTTAGTTAATGTTCATCATGTTATTACAACCTTAGTTAATGTTCATCATGTTATTGCACACCTTAGTAATGTTCATCATGTTATTACACACCTTAGTTAATGTTTATAATGTTTTTGCACACCTTAGTTAATTATCATCATGTTATTTCACACCTTAGTTAATGTTCATCATGTTAATGCACACCCTAGTTAATTATCACCATGTTATTACACACCTTAGTTAATGTTCATCATATTATTAGACACTTCAGTTAATGTTCATCATGTTAATGTTCATGTGAATGCACAGTACATTTATACATGTACGGACAGTTACAGATGTGTAAAATTAATTCCATTTGTAAATGTCATGCATGCGAAGGGGATATTAGACAGCAGCATAGACTGACTGAAAGTGTGTGATCAACCAAAGTGAGTGTTGAAATCAAGAAAACATTTTCAGGAACATTTCCAGTCTATAACCAAAGCTTCTCTTCATCTACATGGGAAGGACAACGGGCATGTAATAACTAGGGCTGAGCATTGCCCGGAATTTCATATATTGTAATACTAACATACTGCAATTAGACACAAAGTGAGTGAGTGAGTATGGTTTTACACTGCTTTTTGCAATATTCCAGCAATATCATGGCGGGGACATCAGAAATGGACTTCACACATTGTACCCATGTGGGGAATTGAACCCGGGTATTTGGCATGATAAGCAATGCTTTAACCACTAGACAACCCCAATGCCCAACATGAAGTCAGATAAATGATACTTGAAGATTGCTGATGCACGTTCATAATGACAGCCTCCAAGATTTTTATACTGAAGTTCACCCTCAAATCGCCAACTAAAGTTTATCTTCCAGGTAGTTAGCCTGACTGTCAAGCAATATTTGTAAACTATTTCGCACACTGTGTGAAAGACCAACATTCTGACACTGATCCTAACAGGTATTGGGTCTTTGTTAGAGTCTGTTGGTTGTGATGGTTCTTTATAGTGAGTGAGCGTGTTTAGTTTTATGACGCACTCAGCAATATTCCAGCTGTATGGCAGCGACCTGTAAATAATCGAGTCTGGACCAGACAGTCCAGTGCTCAAAAGCATGAGCATCGATCTACGCAAATGGGATACAAAGACATGTGTCAATCAAGACAGCGAGCCAGACCATCGATCAAGTTAGTCGTCTTTTACGACAAGCATGGGTTGCTACTGACCAATTCTAACCGGGATCTTCACGTGTCGAATAAACGTTTTTACCAAGAATGACACCTGGTTTATTATTGTAGGAATAACATGTGCGTGTGTAAATACACACAGAGAAAAGTTAAGCAACACTTTCTCTATCTTTCCACATAGAATGTGTTTGTTCGTTTTATGTTTAATGTTGTTCTCAGCAATATTCTAGCTATATGGCTATATAATCAAGTCTGGGCCAGACAATCCAGTGCTCAAAAGTATGAGAATCGATCTATGCAATTGAGAACCGATGACATGTAATTGAAAGTATGTATCCTACCTATATCGCCATTGATGCTGTCACTAGTTATTCATCTCAAGATTGGATGCTTTGATAATTACCAAACAGCAACTACACTTTGCCTGTCTTAAAGCCAGTGCACATGGGCTGTGAGATTGTGTTTCCTCCTGCATATTTCACCAAAACATCACAGTGATGTCATCATTAGGACTGAAATGATTCACTGATTCTTGCCATGTCCTCAAAACTTAAATGAGTGGGTGCATGAGTTTAGTGCTGCCTTTAGCAATATTCCAGCAATATCAAGAAAGGGACACCAGAAATGGGCTTCACATATTGTGCCCATGTGGGGAATCGAACCCAGGTCTTCGGCGTGACAAGCGAACACTTTTAACCACTAGGCGACCTCACCACCCCATGTGATGCAAGAAGCATCATCAGTCCTTATCCTGATACACACAATACTTGAGAGTGAGCGAGTTTAGTTTTATGCCACACTCAGCTATATTCCAGCTATATGGCGACAGTCTGTAATAATTGAGTCTGGACCAGACAATCAAGTGATCAACAGCATGAGCATCGATCTGAGCAATAGGGAATTGATGACACGTGTCAACCAAGTCAGCGAGCTTGACCACTCAATCCTGTTAGTCGCCTCTTACGTCAAGCATGTGTTACTGAAGGTCAATATTCTAACCCGGACCTTCCCGGGTCTCAATACTTGTGATCTCAGGCAATACTCAGCTTCTCTTTTCATCAACTTTCAAAGTGCCCTTCATTTTCTTTGACACAAATAGTGCTACATGTCTGGATGTGTGACCCTCACGCTTTTTCACATGTCTCTGTCAACCAACTTCATAATGTCATATTGTTTTGTTCACACAGCAGAAAATGTTACGAGCCATTGAGTATTTAATCAGATATTATATTTGACAGTTTTCTTACGGTATAGAACACAGTTTATTCACATGGAACCAGTCTATTTGGTATTTGTGAGCCAGCGAGTGAAAATTCTAAAAAATAATCCTCCTTAAATTTGTTCTGTTCATGTTCTGCTCCAGATGTGCCGGGTGTTTCATAAGCTCACAACTGTGATGCACATTTTGTTTCAGTTATATGTGTAACGCTGCACTTCCAAGCATCATTCACTGCTGTATTGTTTATTTTGAGGTGATACCTGCATTTGATTAATACAAAAAGATGATCAAGCGGTGTTCATCACTCAAGCAGACAAAGCGTCACTGGGTAATTACTTATTGTTGATGCACTATTACGTTTTTAATATTTTCATTGTGTATTTGTACACAATCAGCTCAATCAAATTGGTTATGGCTAAATATTGTGAATATTGATCACATAAACAGGCAGCTTATTTCAGTCTCTCCCAATCAGAGCTTATTTATGTCATTGACCCAATCCCTGTATGAAAATAGTGCTACTACTTTATTCACTAATCCAATATAAAGAGGCATTTGAGTTATGAAATGTTGCACTGTCAATAGGCATATTATGGATAACTTACCTTTTTTCTCGATCATGCACAAAAATTGAGTTTCTTCTGCATACTTAGAGACCACCTCCGTGGTGTAGTGGTTAGAGCATCTGCCCAGAGAGCGGAAGGTCGCGGGTTCGATCCCCGACCGCGTCATACCAAAAGACGTTAAAATATGGTACTTGTTGGTCCCTGACTGGCGCTCGGCATTAATGGGTACAATAAGGACTGGTCGGCTCGGAATCTGAGTGGGGTATTCATGCTCCACTGCGGCATGGTATCTCAGTAGGCTAGCACTATAAAACCAGCTTAAGTCTGGGCTAGTACAAGCAGCCGCACATACACATGCATGCACGTCGTCATAAGAGCAAAATATTCTCAAGCACGACGTTAAACCCAATTTCACCTCACCTGCATACTTACCTGTGTGTATTTGATTGATGGAGAGGTTAGAATTTACGATTACTTTAATTCACAGAAGTTGCAACCTGTCAAGTCATGAGGTGAGGTGAAATTGGGTTTAACGTCGTGCTGGAGAATATTTTGCTCATATGACGACGTGCATGCGTGTATGTGCGGCTGCTTGTACTAGCCCAGACTGAAGCTGGTTTTATAGTGCTAGCCCACTGAGATACCATGCCGCAGTGAAGCATGAATACCCCACTCAGACACATTATACTGACTCAGAGCCGACCAGTCCTTGTTGTACCCCTTAATGCCGAGCGCCAGGCAGGGACCAACAAGTACCATATTTTTACGTCTTTTGGTATGACGCGGCCAGGGATCGAACCTGCTACCTTCCGCTCTCCGGGCGGACGCTCTAACCACTACACCACGGACGCGGTCGAATAAAACATGAACTATGTTGGAAATTTGAAAACGAATGACAATGACATAGCCTGTGACTATGGCGACCATTAACCAAATGATCTGATAGTGAAATACATTTCTCCTGCTGATTGCAAAACATTAAATACTCGAGAGAGTAAAATTTAAAACCATATTTGAGCATATTTTTATTGGTTGTTGTAGAATTTCCAGGTTGGATTTTAAACATCAATGACATAAAATGAATTAAAACTACTGAACTTCAGTTTGAAATGTGTTTGACTCAAAGCGGATGTATAAATAGCAATCTTCATGCCAGTAAGTCACATAATAATTGTAGATAAGATTTTGTATAAACCCTCTTACTAACACCACATTCACTGTAACAAGGTATTGAACAAGATTTACAGCTGATCCTAAGAATAAGCTGTAATGTAACACAATAACAGATAATTACCCATATGCCGTTTCAAGGCTTGAGGTTTGATCACTTGGTTACATTTTTCACAGACAACCAAGTAAAATTCATCTTGGGAGGGACAAATACCAAAAAGGTATTTATCTGAAACAGACAAACAAAATAAATTGGGATAATTAACAAATTCATCAAATTATTACAAATAAGACATAATTACTTGAAGAACAATTTTAATGATTTCTAGAGAATCAAGGTCACTTATGACTAGGATCTAATTTGTGCTCTAAACAGTAGTTTAGAAAGATCAGACTCCCTGGTTTCAGATATCATGAGAAACAGTAAGAAACGCTGTTGGTTTTGAAGTAAAACATACTCATATCTCAGTATCAATTAACCAGAATGTGTGACGGTTTCATTGTGGGATCAAAACATCAGGAAAAACATCGTTTTTAGCTCAGCCACTGTATAGATGTTCTGTCATGTTTCAGTCCATACATGTGTAATTATGGGTTAACTAAATTTGAAACAGCACTAACATGCTTGATACACCGTTTGTGGTAATGAAAAGAATTAATTTTTATGATTACGATTCGTAAAAATGAACACACATGTATTTCCTGAAAATTTCTTGGCCATGTGCACATGTTGGTGTCTATCAATTTTAAATGTCAAACAACATTTCAGTCAACACAAATACATGATAGTAATGCAGGCAAAAGAAGTAAACAACATAATTGGTCATATGGACTCTTATTTCATCAAGGTTCATCTCGGTGATGCAGATGAACGGATGTTACAAATCGCGTTATTCCCATTTTATTCATGAATGCACGCTGTCAAAAATGTCTCACTAATTTTTGAATGCAGAGAAATACGATCAAGTAGTAAGAACCCATGGTATTTACCGTCTTTACGGAGTTTCATACTATCACTGTTGTCATCCTTATCTTCTGATTCCTTTGAATCGCCTGATTCTGCAAAAGAAACAAGACAATTTTCAACATGACACTTGTCGTGATCATCAATCTCACCTCGATGAAATCAACTGAACATCAGTTTTTCAAAGAGTGTCTACGCCGATCACAATCGATGAACATCCTTGATACAGACATATATGATGGATATATGTCTAAACTTACCCTTTTCATCAGCTGTGGACCAACTGTCGGCCATTGCTGACCATGGCTTGCCAGCAAACAGCGACGGACTTCTGTCCTGGGTCGCCATTTTAGTTTCTTGTTGCTTTCTGCCAAAGCGAAAAGAGCCGATTATGACGTCATAATCGGAGGGAATCGTGATGATCACTTCCGTTTCTATATATGACAAAGTTGTCGCATTTAAATGTTTCAGTTAAATCGGATGCTCTCTAATCACGCGACTGATATACAGGTTCATAGAACGTCAATTCAAATAAATATACTGAGTCAGTTGAACATTTTCATGGTAATAAAGAAATTTATTTCTGCTACAAGGGGTCGTACTTCCGGTTTGAATTTGTAAACATGGCGGTGACAGATGGTTGGTACACGTGAATATCATGTGTTTTATTGTGTCTTTTAGTATCACAATTTGGCAGTTTTGTTTTTAGCTTTTACATTTTTCTTGTTATCTTTGTTTCATTTCCTCATGTGGGTGAATTGTATGTCGAAATCAATATGAATCACACACTTGAAATCGGTGGGGAAAAAACTTAATTCAGTGGGTAAACAACAAGTTTTGGTAAACAAAACTCGACATAGTATTAGTGTTATGCTCAAAATCGAAAACGCCAACGTTTTGCAATTCTTCTGTGCGGGGAAATCCGTATGCACAGAACGTTGCTTACAGGTACTTTGTCAAAGTCACTTGGAGATTTGTCTTGGATCCCCCTTCCCGATCAACGGCCCAATCTCATCTTCCAAAGAAACATTTCTTTGCAATCCTTTGGATCAGTCGAAATTTAGTATATGAGCAAGCTGTAATCCTAATGAATCTGATATAATTTGAGGAAAATCTGTTGCAAACAAAATAATTAAGTTTGGAAGCTTGCAATGCCTTTTAGGAACTCAACATATTTTTATTTGGGAATATACTTTCTCAGTAAAGTACAGATTATTGCAAATTGTTTTTGGTAGGGGAGGGTGTGGGAGTGTTTACACTCTTAGAGTAAGGCACCTACTGGCAAACAAGGATAATTTTGACTGGTGCAGAGAATGCGTTTATGAGAAGTAGGCAGTGCATGACGATGAAATTGATTCCGCGCGTAGCTGCACACGCCATGCTCATAAGACTCTCAAGTCGGTGTAGCAAGTCTCACTACACTTGATCGCGGACAACCTGTGGCCCCTTTGCTAACAATGGCGCTCATACATGCTAATGCGGGTCAATTGTCAGGTCAGTACTTAACCTATCCTTGTTTGCCAGTAATCGCCAGCCCACAAAGTCAGCAGAGATAAATGGCAATAAGGCAATAACGCATGCTCATCAAGATGAACAATCCATGCTCATCACTTGGTAAATGAGCATTATTTTTGTGTCAGTTGTTTTTGATAAATAATGAACTCGCTAGTCTAGCTGAGCTTCAAGCTGGTAACTGGAGTTTGATCCTCTGTGGAGCACCGCCTGCAACAGCAATTAAAAGGCCCCACTGTGCAGGTTCCTCTATTGAGCACCAAAAGAAAGGTTCACCTTATAAATTACAGTTCTCTCATAGTTTTCTATCACCATGCAGTATTTCACAATATTCAAATATTTATGCAAATTCATAACATGTTTGGGTTACATCAGATACTATCAATCTGTTGTTACCTATTGTATACAGTACACAACCCTGTGCATTTTAAAGAACCCATGAATCCATAAATAACGGGATTGGATGCAGACTCGCTGACTTGGTCGACACATGTCATCGTATCCCACTTGCCTAAATCGATGCTCATGCTGTTAATCATTGGATTGTCTCGTCCAGACTCGATTATTTACAGACCAAGACCATATAGCTGGAATATAGCTGAGTGCGACGTTAAACAAAAAACAACCTACCATCAGTAAACTCAATGAACTGAATTTCTCACATATTTGCTCTTTTTCAATATGTTCATGTCAAGTAGAGAAAGAAACCTTTATCTTGATTTACTAAAATGGGTTTAGGGAACCTCGGGAAGTCAATTTTAAGGGTCCTTGCAGACAATGTGAGGGTCCTGTAAAGTAAGGAAATAATGTGGTGTGCAGTAACTTCTGATAATTAGTCCAGAGCCTAAGGGGCGGTGGAGAAGCCTAGTGTGAAGCTCATTTCTGGTGTCTCTCGCCATGATGTTGCTGGAATATTGCTCAGACTAAGTAAACTTAAGCTCAATATTATTCTTTACACTGCTATACTGAGTCTAACAAACCCTAGTAGAAGGTCGCATCAGCTAACCTTTGAGCGACTGTCCAATCAAACGCGAGACGGCCGAGTGGATTTAACCAATCGACACCGACTACTTGTTAGGGTTCAGCGGGACTTACAAAACAGTTTTTGGATTTTCTCTTCCCTGGTCGCTGACACTGATCTATCAACAAATGAAAATCTGCATAAAACACAGATATTTGACCTGCAATATATACACTTAGGGGTTTCTAATGACATGGTTACTATTAGCTTATATTTCCGCAAGATGACATCCTTGAATATTGACGAAAGCGCTATTTTCAGCGACTGTTTACTCATTGTGTCCTCCATGTTTATCACTAGGAAGCGATCGTGCGGAAAATAGCATTTAATATATCGTTAAAGGTCATATCCACCCGAAAAATCAAACATAATTAAAACACAATTATCACTTATTCATGACATATAATATACATTGCTGGTTATCAGAATCTGCAAAGTTGTGTTTTACGTTGCATGTGACCTTTAAAGTTTTTTAGGTAAAGGTTCAAACGGTATGTGCGAATGTTAACTTTCGCGATTTAGTAAGGTGTGTTCTGATTGATCAGTCCAAAAGGTTAGCTGACACGACCTTCTATTAGGGTTTGTTAGACTCAGTATAGGAGTGCAACGAATAATACTGAGCCTAAGTTTACTTAGACTTGAATATTGTTAAAGGTCACATGCAACGTAAAACACAACTTTGCAGATTCTGATACCTTTCGGTATGGACTTACCGAAACAAATCATCAAAAATGCAAATTAAAAATAATGCCATGAAAAAACCCGCGCGAAATCGTAGTTCAAACAATTCACTAATTTTCCCCCAGGGCTTGGGGGAATTTAAGTGGTTTCAACAGCTGGGCTGCGCTGGGCTGCACTCATAGCACATGCGCAGTGAAATAGGTTCGCGCAGCTTGGAAGCGGGTTGTCCGGTGAATACTCAGTGAAGGCTTTGGTGTAAGCTATTTTTCTAATGTTTTGTTGATATTTCACAGGCGCGAGCTTTTTATATGTTATGACAGTAGATTACCGATTTAACTGTTTATATAATTTCATTTGTCTATTTCACCACGAGTTCTTCTTACCGAGTCACTTTCTCAGTTCCATACTTAAAAGCAATGTCATTATTTAGCGTTGACCGAATTTCTAACTGTGATATAGATATGTCGTTGTCACAGATAAAACTCAATGTCTGTTTTATTGACACCTATGTGTCTGCCTGCCCGTCTGCTAGTGACAATATTCAATACACAACTTTGATCACTGACCACATGCAATTTGAACTTAACACCTATCAGGCTATACACCATAAACAAAACACATTGATTTATGGCCCGAGTTCGGTCTCTGTCACATTATGTAATTACAGAGACAGGCAGGTGTGATACTTGTGCACATGACATGTTATGATGTCTGTTGATTGCAAAATTTTATACTAAAAAAAGTGAGCATGTATTTACAAAACCCAACATCTCTATATACACACACACAATGGGCCGTGAGGGCATCTGCAAATGAACCAGCTGTTACACTTGAGTGCACACCCACCCGCTCTGACTGGGTTCGGTATCCCGGCTGCTTCGTTTCTTGGGAGGAAAACCCAAGTACAAAATATTTCACTTTTGATTTGCGATTGTACGCTTATAATTTTGTTTATATGTTTTTTCATAACCAGCAATGTATATTATATGTCATGAATAAGTGATAATTGTGTTTTAATTATATTTGACTTTTGGTTGCATGTGACCTTTATAAAGTTTAAAGCAGCATAAAACCAACTCACCTGGAGCCTGAAATGAATGTTTTATTGTGTGCGCAGTGGTCGTGACTGAAGGTTGAACAGGTCTTCAAATGTTGATTGTACAATGAATATTAATGTGCTTCCTAGCGATGTAGTAAATTTGTTCTCTGTGTTCATTTACTGCATTTGTGGGGGCGGTGGGGTAGCCTGGTGGTTAAAGCGTCTGCTTGCCACGATGAAAGCCGTGGTTCGATTCACCACATGGGTACAATGTGTGAAGCCCATTTCTGGTGTCCCCCGCCGTGATATTGCTGGAATATTGCTAAAAGTGGCGTAAAACCTTACTCACTCACCATTGCTCACTGGTCATTATCTAAATGCCACTCATGATAGAAGTTCATATCATTAAATATATAGTCAAGACCACTCACCATTCGTGACAAAAATCTGAAGTATTCTCATCTGTGAATCGTTGTCTGAATTGTTCATTCCACTGTAAAACATGTGGATTGACAACTTCTTTCAGCCCTAAATGTATCTGTAGTTTTTGCGCTGATATATCATGTATAAATCCATAAAAATACTTTTTCGATCATTTATTCAGTTTATTTCTACATTTTGGTTCGGACCCACGTGTGACCTTTGACCTTCCAATTGTGTTTAGTACGCCAGAATACAGTAAAGCTTTATTTTTGTGGCACACAATTAAGGATAAATTCATATATTTAGAATAAATTCAAACAAGCTTTTATCTTTAAAAACAAAGGAAAAAAGATTTCCCTTACAATTGTAAAAAGACCTAATGAATTTCTCATCTAAATTCTGTAATACCCTCCAATGGTTTATACATCGGTGAACTTGAGGTTTGAAGCAATCAATAAAACATGTTACATGTTCCCAGCAGGATATGGTTTATTGTAGCAAGCTGTACATACCAAACACTCACTAACAAAGTTCATCTTCCGTCAATGAACTGCATCCAAGAGTAGAGGCTACAATAGTTAGCTATTTTGCCATTAATATCTTCTTTCGATTAAATCTCTTTGAAAAATTAATCATATACAATATCTCAATTGCAGAGGCCCAGATAAGCTGCGTATCCAGGTAAAATACGCATAGAATTACGCATTGAAAAATAATTGTTGCATACCAATTATGCATTTAAAATGTTAGATACGCAAAAAGTTTAAAACAAATGCGTACAGAATATATTTATAAAAATCGCTTGCGTAATGAAAAAGACATCGATTGCTATCAAGTTGTACTGTTAGTATAGGACAAGTGTTGTACTGTCAGTATAGGATGAGTGATTATTTATGAAATAATTTCCATTATATTTAAGTTGGTTTTGATTTGGTATGACATAAGGCAGAACATACCTGCTTA